CTGACAATGGTGGTGTCAGGTGCAATGCTGAGGGCTCACGCCCATCCATGGAGTGTGCTCCTCTATTACTAGATGAATGGCCTCGAGTCCTCGTGCCTCGTCGTTAGCCCAAATCGACGAAAGCCTGTTGGCAGTTCTTATGTCCGTCGGTCCTTGAACAGAAAAACACGTCAAGCGATAAGGCGGAATGATCGTTCGAATATAGAGTTCTATTATTCGATTTTGTCTGCAATACTTGCAACACTGATTGTTATGACAAAAGGATCTGCCGTCAATCTTGAGCTTATAAATCCCAACGTTTCCTTGCCGTGCCCTCTTAACACACCGTTTGGCTCATTAATGCGACCTATTTATATAAATGAATGTTAATGATTATAACTATTATTATACCTATGTGTAGAAATAACGATCAATATTGATATGTTTATATATTTCTTTATTTATCTTAAAAATCCTATATAGCTTATGGCGCCCAGTAGGAATAGATCGGTAGCCTCTGGGTTAAATACACAAAACTGAATAACATCTTGAATTCAGGCTGGGCAGAAATATTTACATATCTGCGACTAGTCTCAGTCGGGTGCCGATAAGCATTTACTATTTGCCTAGACCCGGGCTTTTTTAAAGCTTTTCATCGTATTCTAGAATGTAACAGCACAATAAACATGCCGTCAATGTGCACTACTACGAATTTCACGATTATTTGCTTATAGGCTTTGTATATAGGTAATACAGTTTTATTCAAAGGACGTGTAGTCTAAATAATTTTCAACCTGGCCTTCGTTTTCCTTTTGCTTTAATATTTTGCCAGCTTATACTATAAGGCCAAGTGAAACGGCATGGGTCGTGTGGATGTCTTAAGTAATATCGGTTTGACTATTGGAATGAAGCGTGTCCTTTGTTCCTAGCGTTCCTGTAGTAGCACACTAGCCTGCTCGTCTGGTTTACAGCTCCCCCTAAAGATAGCTTGTACAGCCCTTGCACACATCTCTGATGATTGTTTTGAATTGTACTGGGCAACACAAACTGATACATTCGCGAATTTCGACCTGTATGATTGATAAGGTGAATGATACCTGTTTTTGAAACAAGCACATTACTATACGTATTTTGAAATACGCTTCTCTCTTTAATATTATGCAAGGATATCAATTTTTTTTTACGTATTTGCGAAGAAACGCGCAGTTTTCAATGGCGTGTGTCATATTAGGTTTAAAAGGTTATGTCCGATATATCTTTTTAGTTGCCCGATTGGGTATGGAGTAATCCCAGAAACATGATTTTAAAAAAGTCGCAATAAAAGTTTAACAGGCTCATATTGTATAAACAAGAAATGCATCTGACAAACTTCTAGCTTCGATAACGCCTGTGTCTTATTCAAGACACAGGCGTTATTGATGCAGTACAGTGACGGGTAATATCGTTTTGCCGGTACTCAATATTGTCTGAGCAAGCTCATCTGGTTTCGGCCACAGGTAGCACTTTAATATGTCTCCGTAGCAACTACATAACAAATAATAAGCAACACGATGTCAGTCTATGCTATCGTCTACATAATAGGCCTACTACAGTTCCATAAGTGATTGCGTGAAAATGATGTGAGGGTTATCATTTGCCCGTGGGTGGCATGCAAGTTTTTGTTGCGTACTGATTCAGTTCGGTAGAAGTACGAACCGACTGGGCAGGCGATTCGCAATGCAAACAAAACAAAAACCCAGAATTCCATTGCAGCTACTCTTCGGCCCAAGCAGCAAACGACACCTTGCATCGCCCACAGATTTGAGGTCATGAGTTGACTGTATCTGTAAAACCCAACACCGAGGTTTTCTTGCTGGACATATCAGGTAGTAGCGTACAACAGACAAAAATGTTGCGATCGGCGAGATACTGAGGGGTTCGGCCTTCTTAGTATACATCCAGCCATCTGCCTCTGTGTATCCACATGGTAGCAGAAAGGTAAACAGTTTACAATCCGTAAATATCTGGGAAAGAAAATATACTCGATAACCGATGTTCATTATGTCTTTCATTGTCAACGACAATAACGTAGGTTTTGATACGACTCATACGGCATGGTAGGTCCAAATTTGCCTGCTCGTTTATAGGCAGGCTGTGTCTTGTCTGTCAGATTTAATAACACATTGATGGACAGTTAAGTAATAATAGTCCGACGTGTATAATGGCAACCAACAAGCAGAAATCGACAAAACTAAGACACCGCGATGAATGGTTGGCGTCAAAATGATGGACCACCAACGGCAAAAATCTATTTCTCATGTTTTTCTAGGTTATACTCTGATTAAATATTAACCCCGTAGGAAATAATATTTCCTATGGTTAATGTACTTAAACCGTTACTTCAGGTTGTACAAAATGAAGTGTGTCCAGGTCCAAATTTGAAATACGCGTCCCTCGACCTAATGGGTATGTTACAACTGCGCTCTGGCGACGTCACATGAGTTGTCTTAAGGGGCTGAATATCTCGCTGCTTTGAAGGAAGCACCAGTTTCTTTGTGATGAAGTATCGAGATCGACTTTTCTCCGAAGATGAATTAAACATTCGAAATATGAGCAAATGTGGCAAAACAATACGACACAAACGCTCGTTGTAGTACAAATGATCTTGTGTTCTGTTCCCGTGATGGCGCAGTGATTTCGTGTTTGCCTACAAAATATAGAGACAAATTAAGTGGTCAAAATCGGGTGCAGGAAGAGGCTAACCGTAATGCCCAATAGCAGTACAGCAAAATTTGAAGCATCGATTCAAGTCATCTTGTGTTTTCTATTTAGCATTTATTAAATAAACACACGAAACAAGCTAATTAAAGAAAAAAACGAAGTGATAATCTGTGGTAAAACTATATACTCTAAGAATAGATTTTTATCTGCCAAATAGATAGCGTCACCAGTTAAAAGTCGAAATGAATACGCGACCAACGTAAGTCAGCGGCACGGCCTATAGGTCAGCAAGCCTGTATGTACCTATACTATGTTACAAGCTATTACGCTTCGTGCTCATTAAATGTGTAGGATGCGGTCGGCATATCTACCTTGAAAATTTTTCTTAGGCTTCATTTCGAAAAGCCCGTCCAAAAACATGAACGAATTTTTTCGCATACGCTAGAAGTATCGTTCCTGGTGCTTACATTTATTCAATATAATGATCATCAACTATAATTACAGCGTTAATTAGGGACTTAAGACACTTACTACTCGTTTTCAACATATACCTCCTTTAATTTCTAACTAGCTTTCTAATAGCAACCGTGCTTCAAGCGATATCGACAGGGGTAAGCTCTTAAAAGTGTCGCTCACATATTCTACATACAAACGATGTAAACAAGGGCCAAAATCAAATTTTGGACTGTTCCCAGCTCAAAGGTCCCAAAAAATGTAGGAGCTCGAAATAGTTAAAATCATGCAAAAAGTCTTAAAAAGACTGGCCGTCGGGGTTTATCTGGACGAGCTAGTGGGCAAATGATATTCTCCTTTTCTAAACGGTCGTTAAAGACACACGCGTATCTAAAGTGGATTTTTGAACGATTCTGAGAAACTATTTATCATTTTAAATTAAAACCTTACTGACGGCATTTTCCTAGTGGAGATTCGTTCAGCGCGGAAATTAGATAACAGGTAATCTTCACTTCAATATTAAAAACGACGCACTATTGTTCGCCATGACGAATACCCTATTTTTTGTAAAAACAATCGACTTTGGTTCAGTACCAGGAGCAGCGGATGAACACATACCCGTTAGGGCAAACAGTCAGATAAAGTTTTCCCTGATTCAGGTGCACCACTATCTATACAGCATCGCTAGCTGTACGTTACTGAAGATGACGTTAAAATTCTACCTCTTACTATCCTATATTTTATTTTATAATGGAATAAATATCACCATGTGCCCGAGCTATAGTGTGCGTTTGACTAGGTGTACAGGATCCCCGACTCCGACTAGTAAAATTGATCACGAAGAAATAATAAAATAGGCGCGTGCAAAGCTTGTGGGTCTAAAATTAATCTGCGTTTAAAAGTGTTGAACCTACTAAATATGAGTCCGTACCATGCCCACAACGACGACGACGACGACGACTACGGAGGAAACTTGTGCTCAATCTATATTCTGCCGCAAGATATCAATGGCGTCGCATGGATTCGTTTACTTAGATTAATCCGCTGCGAAATAAAAACAAGCAGAAGCTAGTGGAAACCTTTAGGAGCGTTATAAATCCTTAATAGGATTATAAACAACGGAAGTACTTTTCTACCAGTAGGACGGCATGCCTGCAAGAACCTCAATATCATTAATGATTTGCTAGTTTATAGAAAATATGATCTTTTTCATTATGTTAAAGTTACTGATGACAGGACGCGACGGTAGATTTGTTCGTGATAGATAACGTTATTTTATGTTAAAGCTAATTCTTAAGATTAATCAAAACATTTTTATAGCTTTACCGGATTCAAGGCCAAGGTTATGCTTCATAAAGGCTGCTGATCGTAGTCGAAAAAATATATTTTTTAATCCTGTCTAATGTTACTACAGGCTCTCATGACACCTTCAAAACAAACTGCAAACGCTGCTAGATAGATTAGGCCATCTTAATCTGTGTGCAAGTGGCTGCGTTGGTTTTGAGATTCACGTATCACTGATGATGCATTTATAACGCTATATATACAGGAATAACATAAAAAAAAAATCATGCATGTATATCATCCGTATAGATCATCGTAACAAATAATCAACTACTAAATTGCCGTGGTAGATAAACGAGTAGGAAAGCGCTAACTGCTAAAATAGAACGAACGTCTCAAGTGAAATTTAATAATAGTCGAGCTCCGATAGCGTTTATATATTGTAAGCCCAGTCATCACAACTCGATCTAACGTGGTACCATCAAAATGAACTCAAACGACGTGTATCAATAGCATTAGTCAAAAAGGAGTCCCGGCTACTCTCTCTCTCTCTCTTTCTCTCTTTCTCCATTTCGCCGCCATCTCCACGAGGCATCGGTCGCCCGTTGTAAACTGGCAAAGAAAATGAGTTCATTCGCATCGTGCTGATGCAACGTGGGCTCAACCCGTTTATATAACAGAGACGATAATAAACGCATCGGTGAATTCAAGGCAAGCTTGGATGAGCTGTCAATACTCATCCCATGTGCAAAAGCTAAATTCCCGTCCAGTGTTACGAACAGCAAGTGATCTATAAGCACGAGAATGGGCGACAGAGCACCAATTTATACATCGGAAACAACTGGCTCCGACGACACCGGCAATGGTAGATATCGAAACTGGCCTTCTTTAGAACCGGCGGAAAAGCCGGCGGTTCGAGCATACGAACCGGTGCGCATAGTATCTCTACAGTGTATATTGTAAACAGAGTTAACGAGAGGAGTGGAAAAGCAAGACCACGAAATCTTGTATGCTGTCCATAGCCTTAGCGTGATTCATGTTTCGAATTAAAGGTCTTTATCTGTTAACAGAAGTTCTGTATTCAGTAGTCTCGGAGACGAGCATGTGTGCATGTGGTGCCTGAAGACGTTTTCCATACAGAAAACAGCTGATGCAATTTCAGAGGGGCATGCGCGCATTATTGAAAGCTGGTCCGAATTATGTTTATATTCCACATATTTTTTTCTCGAGTTTTTCTTTGCCCCAACTCAACAATGATCATAATTGGACATAGTCCAGTGCCGTTAAACGTATTTAAAGATATCAGCATAACCATATGTTTTTCGTCATTCATTTTATAATGTTATATATTAATTATAATGCAATTTTATTCATATGACCATTCGACAATAAATAAATAGAAGCCGAGGTTAGAAACTGTTTAAATGATTTTCTAAAGTAAAACCTAAGCTTAATTTGCCAGTGTCAGTTAGTGACGCGATCCGTGCGTATTGTGATAATATACGCAGATAGAAATGTTGGGGGCAAAAACGACTATGCTTGTGTAAGAAACTTTATTAAAATTATTTAAACAATTTATGAAGCAGGAAGTTATGAGCTATACAAGGCTGATACTACTGAAGGTTTCAGTAAAGAAAAGGGTAAATGAGAGGGTATGTCGGGGGCGTCGCATGTATTTGTGTACTTTATCGTTTCGATTTTGTTTTTGTTAAGATTTTGGTATTCGACGATAAATCAAGGGTAGAGTATTATGAAAGTAATTTCGTAAAAAAAATTCTTATGAAATAATAATAATAATGCATCAAGTGCTTAGTACGTTTTTGCCTCTACAACTTTGCCATAGACACCTACCTAAAAGAACTTTAGACGAAAACCCACTCAAAACATTAGTTTAGAAAACAGGCCTACACTCAGCTAAACAGACCCACTAACGGTGATAAAGATAGTAGAAGCAAATAGTAGACACATATATACATACATATATACACACTATGCACGAAGTATTTCGCCCATATGAACATATGTTCTTACATTTAAGCGTGACCTTTGTTGCCGCGTAGGTCTCTGTAGGTTTGTTGGTTTAAAAAAGTGACTAAACGGCTTCTGTCTATAGGTTCCGAAGGCACGCCGTTCAAAACGGTGTTGCGTGCAATGCATTACGCGAAGCAAGAGCCTTTTCCAGATATTTTCGTGGACAGCAAGGACAGTAGTGTAAAATATGAGCTGATCAGCCAGGCGCAAAAAAAGAAAATTAAAAAAATATGGGTATGTTTATACTAGCTAATATAGTATTAATAATGCCAGTGAGTTAATAGCATGTAATTTCGAAATTACTTCTGCTATATCTGGATGGATATGACATTGATAAGAGCAATCGATGACCAACTAAGCTAAACGAGTCGGCTTAGACTTCTACGATTTGCTCTGATTTGCTACGCATATTTCCTGATGTATCAATAATAAACAGAGATGATTTTATTTTAAAGGTGCGTGAGTGTTACAAAGATGCTGATAAAGCTGCTGCAATCGAAAAACGTGAAGCTGAGGATGCCGCACGACGCGAGCAGAACCTGGAGGAAGCAAAGAAGATTGTTATTGCAGAGGACCCCAGTTTGCCCAAAGCAATGGTAAAGGACGACCCTCTATTTTTGTAAAATAGTGACATGTATATATATAACTTATGCATTATATATGTACAAGAGTCTACGGACATAACTAGAAGATGTTTTACTGGTTTATAGTGATATACTGACTGTTTTTAACGCCTGCAAATGCTGGTAGCCTTCATGTTCCTATTTCGTTTTGTCAAATTGGCCTTTTTAGGAGATGAAAATTCGTGAACTTACGAAGAACAAAGGTAAACGAATGCGTGTGTTCGGCTGGGTACACAATCTGCGGCGTCAAGGCAAAGCTATCATGTTTGTTGTACTTCGTGATGGTACCGGATTTTTGCAGTGCGTGCTTAGTGACAAGCTATGTCAAACTGTTAATGCACTCAAGTTGACTACCGAATGCACGGTATGACACCTCTGACAGAAATTATAAATGTATTTACTTTACGCTTCTGTGTATACGTTCTATGATGTTGCCTTTGTAGAGTACGCAGGTTATCAGTACTACCCATTTCTTCGAACATTTATCAATTGGGCTTTAGTAGATAACTCCAGTCACCTATGGTATCTTCCTATGGTGTTTGTAAATACATGTAGCTTAATGTTAGACTGATTTGGCTGACATACATTTTTGCCAAAGAAATGAATTTGTGATAGTTCGACGATAATGCAGTTCGGCTAGGCAGAATGATATGGCCTGGCTTTAGTGTTTTTATCTATACTAAAATAGATTTTTTACTTCAGAAGGAAGTCTACTGGAGGGTTGTATCTTCTGGGTTTTTTTTTGTTCGCGGCAAGCTGTCATTCAGTTATTTGTAGATCATCGTCTCATAAGGCAGTCAATTGCTGGGCGGTAGTTTCAAAGCATTACGGTTATGATGGTAATCGTGTTTTTATTTTTGCAGGTTTTAATCACAGGCATAGTGAATGATGTTCCAGAAGGCAAATCGGCGCCAGGAAATATCGAGTTGCTGGCTGACTATTGGGAGATGATTGGAGAAGCTCCCGCTGGTGGTATCGATAACGTTATCAATGATGAAAGCCATGTCGATGTTTTACTCGATAACAGACATCTAGCACTGCGTAGCGAGACGTTGAGCAAAATTATGAAGGCCCGGTCGGTAAGTTGCTCCTATCTATTATCTCACGATCGAAGTAGATTTAGAATATACGCCTGGGACGTCCTCATTAATTACCCTTGACTGGATACAGCTCATTGTAAGCATCCGGTACGTGGTACGTTACAGGTAATCATGCAGTGTTTCCGAGACCACTTTTTTGAACGTCACTATACAGAAGTATTTCCTCCTACACTTGTCCAGTGTCAAGTCGAGGGCGGTTCTACACTGTTTAAGTTGGACTATTTCGGAGAGGAAGCCTACCTAACGCAAAGTTCACAGCTTTACCTCGAAACCATGCTACCCTCTCTAGGTATATCTCTAGGTCATGCTTTTATAACAATATCTTTGTATCTCTTGTTTATCTATCATCCATTTATCTACTTGCAGTGTTATCATTTATAATATATAACAGGTAATAATGCCAGTGATACGATTGGGAACAATGGTATTGCGCGCTGTGCGATCTGCGGGTGCAGAAAAGTTCGCACAAGTAAAACTCGTAATTTTACGTTATTAAGCCACAGGTGTGATGATCGATTGCGTACGCTACACTTGATTATGTAACGTGTCCAATACAATTGAGTGAAAAAAAATTACTGTACCTATGGGGCGGTCTCTTTTTTGAGGCGTTTCCTTCGTTTATCCGAAACGTTGGATACTGAGGTTCCTACATGCGACTTCAATGTAAAGCGCTGCTATCAGGCTAGAAGCTCCTACGGTTAAAGCTAAACTAACTAAGCTACATCGAAAGTGCACGGTATTAATGTTGCACTCTACCTGATTCGATCAATTCGCAATTGTTTGTAGGAGACGTATTCTGCGTCGCAATGTCATACCGAGCCGAACAATCACGCACGCGCCGCCATTTGGCTGAATACACTCACATCGAAGCAGAGTTCGTGTACATAACTTTCGACGAGCTGCTCAACAGGTAACTTCGGCTGATTGGCTGGCGTTTTACTAATCAGTTTTTTTTCATTTCGTAGTGCGATCTAAACTTTTCTAAATGATCGAGCTTCGTGATCGAGCTGCAGGAACCACATGCGTAGATGCTCTAAAACAAGTATCATCTGATCCTGTTAGGCGCCGTTTGGCATAGCGAAATCGATTTTTTGTACGATTATGGAGAATTATTTCATAAGTGTTTGCGTCCTTCCAGGATTGAAGATATGATCGTTGATGTCGCTGAGCGTGCTATGAAATCGCCTATTGGCGAGATTATCAAGGAGCTGAACCCGTCGTTTGAGCCTCCTAAAAAACCATTTAAGCGAATGACTTACGTCGATGCTATTGAATACTGTCGCGCTCACGATATCCTAAAAGAAGATGGAACTCACTTTGATTTCGGAGACGACATACCCGAGATGCCAGAAAGAAAAATGACGGACCAAATAGGAGAGCCGATTCTACTCAATAGGTTCCCTGCTGAGATTAAAAGCTTTTACATGCAGGTAACTAACTACACAAGCACTGGTCAGTTATCACCTACGATGATTTACTTGCGAAGTGTTTCCGAATTTTATATCCGATATACCACTTGAAGTCGTGCTAGAACTAAAAACTAGCTAGCAATAACTTGTATCTAATGTGCGGTACAGTGATAAAGTTCGTAGTGATGGTTTTAAAGCAAAAGGTAAGCTAATGGAATTGACGTTCAATGCCCCTTAGATTCGACCTGTCGTGATCTACCAGCTATTCACGCAATGTTAGTTACCATAGAATGTGCCGCACGCCGTTCAATGTCTCTGCAACGGTGAACTGTGTAAATGGAAAATATATCTAAAAAGTCACTTTGTATGTCTGCAGCGAGACGCCGCCGACAACCGAGTTACGGAATCCGTTGATGTATTAATGCCTGGCGTCGGTGAAATAGTGGGTGGATCAATGAGGGTTTGGAAGGAGGAATCACTCACAGAAGGGTTCAAACGCGAGAACATCGATATGGCTAACTATTTCTGGTAACAACGATTCCTTTATTCTTCGCTTATTGTTGAAAATGCATAATAATTAACGCTTAGTATGCATAGTAATACAAATTTTCAGACGGCGTGTCAGACAATGGTTCGACCGTTTTTACATAATAATATTACGTTCGAACGACTTGTAGCGTAAATTTTACTGAGTAGAATTAATTTGTATCAAGCCGTAAACCGTCGTTGTTGTGGTAGTGGTATTCGTTTGTGTAATCTAGCCGAATTATATGTATGCCGATTTATATCGCTCGTTGTAGATCACTCGTCTACCATTTGTTTCCGCTCTTTCATAGGTACATCGACCAGCGTCGCTTCGGAACGTGCCCCCATGGAGGTTTCGGTCTAGGATTCGAACGGTTCCTTACCTGGATACTCGGAAGATATCACATTAGAGATGTAATATTGTATCCACGCTTTGTCGGACGTTGCAAGCCCTAACGTATGTGTTTGAGTGATAGAGGCTGAATCTTGAAGTGAGCAAAAAAAAGTACTGACACTGAACGGCAGACGTCTAGATTCCAGTGTCGACCGTATTGGCGCATGTATGCTCGTTTGACCTTTCCATACTTTATCTAAATAAATTTCTATTCATGGACCTATAATGTACTTAATTCAATGTGATGAAAATGAGAGTAGCTTTACACACTTCGTCGAGCAACGATTACACACACAGTCTTAGTATGTGACCATTTCGACCTACTCATGGTAGCAAATGTCGATTATGAAGGCTTTTTTTAAATAAGCACTTTTAGCTTTTTTAGGTATGAGCGACGGGGACAACCGGAGTAAATAGGCCGAACTTTCAATAATTTGGTCTTGTTATGATGTTTAATTTTCGTGAAATTATAGCTCCATGCTTTAGGGCATACATCTAAGACGTTACTTGTATACTTAAAGGGCTTGATAATAACAATGCTTCGATTAGATTCCCATGCGTGAGCTAAATTGTTGAAGTTGAAACGTCATATAAAAACGTAAAAAGGCCCGGATACCTGAAGATGAATACGTCGTCATTATTCTATCTAATAAATTTTGGAAAATTCACACGCTAACATAAAACTAGCTACCGTACCTAGTCAAAAACAAACGCCACGGTAAACTTTATAATTTCTTTATTTTTTGAATTGTTTGCTCTTTATATTTATTGCATTTGGTTATATTACTTCATCCAGCTAAATCTTCGCTATTGTCGCCGTCTGACAAACCGACCTAGATGCTTTTTGTGCACACGATCATCAGACGAGAGCGCAGACTATCGCCGAGAGAATATATTAGGAAAAATGCCCATAATCTTCTTACAGATAATTATCATCGTAATCAGCACTGTCAACTTATCAGTCTCTCTTGGAAGTTCGCTAACACTCTCCTATCCTGTCTGTGAATTTTTCAGCCCTCTTAACACACGTTTTTCGCACGTAGATTATACCTCTCTTCCGCTCTCCTCCTAATTATAATCACTATGCGATAGTTACATACAGCTTAGTCATCATAATCATCTTTGCCTGTACTCTTACTCTTTTTACACATTTGCAGCGTGTTCAGCATTAATATTACTATTTGACATAATTAACTTTCCCCTCCATTTTTCTCCACATTCATAGTTAAGACGAGCTTTTTTAAAGATAGACTATAAGCTATTTTTTGGTTTGTCTTTTTCTTTACTTATATTTAGTTTGCGCTTTTCGTCGCATATCCCGCAGAGATCGACGATTGTTATCAATCACTGGTGTACACATGTACACAAATATAAATAGTTATTATGTATATCATGGTTACCTTTATATACTTTCCCTGCTTTCCTGTTTTTGTGGTCGCACAATAATGACTCGAGAATAGTTTTCCTATTTCCTTGCCTGTTGTCATCGCTATTTCCAAGCAGATATCACAAAAAGGTGCATGTATCTCGTACGCGTTACGATACACGTGACAAATTGGTGCAGAAAGATTGATTTTCCTTTTTATTTTCAGTGGTCGAATATGAGGTGATTTCTTTCTAGTGTTGTGCTTGATAAATCAATTTGCGTCATCTCTTCGCCTGCCTTATCTCCAGATATCATTGTGAAGGGACTGCATAGTTACCTACAAATATCTGAATACTACTCTGTCCGCTGTCACTGAAAGCAATGTCTACAATCATTGCGCAAGCGCGATCTTCTTTAGCAGTACCCGTAACTACGTATGGTCTTGTCATTCCTATCAATATGTAACAATACGAGTTGGGAACACTCATTATTTGCAAGCGGTATAATTTGTTCTAAACCTTTAACCCCTTTTTGGCGTCAATTTGCTATACATGAATTGTGATTGTTCTTTTTATTACTATCATACCACGTGACGAATACCTTGGCCGTTTGACTGGCAGGTTTTTTTCGATCCCAACCAAGTGCCTCGAACAGGTTTCGCCAAAAGTGCAACTTAGAACGTACACATTTTCTTTCGCTTAGTTTGTTTCTCGATAATCATAGTTGTTATTTCGGCTTTTGTGTGTTTTCCTTTCGTATGTCAACTGTCCTCATGAGCCGCTTCAGCGTCTTCATCGAAGCAGAAGATCATGTGATATTAGCGATCAAACATGGCAATGTTCTCATGATAAGCTCAGAGCTGATTTCGGTGAAGGAGAAGCCATGGCAGAAAAGGAATTTACTGAAGACTGCTAGATACACTTAGTGCGACTATACGGAGTTTCTATAAAGAGCTGGGGCTGTATTTAATTTATTCTTATGCCTCGAAAAGGAAAATGGGGTTAAGCAAAACGTATTATTGCTTTTGCAGTCTTGAAATTGGCTTCACATATGTAAAGATTATATATATATATATATATATATATATATAACTATTGGCGTTTATATTCCTTCGTGATCTCCTTTGATAATGTTATCGTTGAATATGATTATTTTCCTTGCTGACCTGTCGTATGCTTTTATGTACATTAAGTTTGCCCATACATATATATATATATGTAAAAGGGCAAAAAGCTTCTTACCGTAGCGACTGAACAAGCTTGCTGTGTCTCTCCGCATGTTGTGTTGTTGAAAGTCTGCCGCTGGTCTTGGTAAGTTGTACGTATATGAGTGTCCATGATATATTGCTTAGATCGCCCCGGCTTTCGACTGCATGATATCTCAACCAGACCGGTGATGTAAAGGAAATTTTACATCTTCGTCTTCCTCTAGTCGTTACAAAATATCAAATTAGTCTAAGTCATTTGCGGCCAGCCAACAGACATGTTGATGATGGGGATCGCAACAGTCAATGCCAAGCATATGCACTGTATAGACAATGGTACATTTCTTGTGTAGTCAATGGGGTATAACTTTACAGCAACGGTAATGCTCGTCGTCCCTAGTCGCGCTAGAGGGATGTGTGCGAACTATACAACCCAGGCAACACCTACTGTCCGGTACATTGTGGAACAATGGCTTCCGGCCAACAAAGTATTTGGACGACCATTATGAACTGTGAACTTAATGTGTTCCAAGGTAGCATCCAGTCAACTCTTCATATAAATGTAGCGATTCTGTAATATTCTTACGTTAAACACTTGACTAATGCTTGATATCGGCCGCGTCACTTGTGTGAGCGCGTTCTAAAAGCTTAAAGTGAGCCAGTCGATGGATGAGGTCGTGCAAGAATATAGGAAATGTACTCGATTCCAGCGGGGTTTGCGCTAAGTACAATTTCCATTTGCCGTTTGTATGTAGATGTGAGCATTGTGTGTGTTACGTTTTATGATTTTCAGCATAATTATATTTATGATTTATATCATCAATACCCTGCGCGACTATTCGATAAGCCTTCGAAAATCGCCTGACTTTGTTGTTGGCGTAGTTAACCCAACTGTGCCAACCTACACCAGCTGGGTTATTGGTGCATAAGAAATAATGAAAGCAATTTTCAAAAACAGATCGGACCGAAAACACAATTCTAACACTTTGTCATACATTGGTGACGAATTCTAATCCATATAAGTCGACTGCATAGACAGCTTTTGTTTTCCAGCAAGAAGTAGCGAGGAAACTGCCGATGAAATGTTAGAGAAGCTGAGCAATAACGGGATGTAAAAGGCTCATGTGTTCGGCGCCTTTGATGGGTAATTTATTCAATGAATAATGATGAATCATCTCGGGAATTGACTCGAACGGTTTGCTGAACTGGCCCAGCACGAAACGGCCGTCAGACTTGTAAACAATTTTCATGTGCATGAACCCGCGAGTGCTCCTGAAAGATGCACAGTTTTCAAAAAGAATCGGCGGCAAAGATTATGTAAGAAATTATTTTTGTTAGAGTTAGCTTTGGGAAGAAACAGTACACACTACGCGTCTTATGGCCAAAAAATCCAAAATGAAGGATCCATTTTGATTTAATTGATCATTTGATTGTAACTATATGAAACAGATGTAAAGAACTACTTATTAAATAAAAACAATAATTAAATAGGCTGACTTTATATGAACTTACTTGATAGACAGTGAGTAGTCCTGTTTGCTGCTCTCGCTAATACGAACAAGGTAGCTACCCTCCTTTTGACTGCGAAGTAGACATTCAGCATCCACCCGTGAAATAGCTCCATGGTACCATCCTTGACGAGCTAAGCCGAGTGCCGGGTCTACCGGCTCGCCTTGTGGTAGCGGGACAGAGCATCCAAAGTTGAAGGCCATATTACCTCGACTCCGTTTTGGTGACCCATTTAGATTTAGTGGAAGACTGGGTCGAGATGCGACAGAACTAGAATCTGAACCTTCAGATAGAAGATGTTAAGAGAAACCGCATGTTAATTAATTGGTTGTTGGTGCCATTTTGTCTACCTCATTCAGCAATTCAATACTTGTGCTCTACCTAAGAACAAATTTTTCGATGGAACATTTGCATTTTATGGTAAGGCCGAGAGACAGGTCGGTTCAAACGACTCGTGTACGCTATCTGCATGTTCAGTATTTAGGTGTATTCATGTACTTTCCTTCACGATAAGGTGTTTGCGTTATTTTATTATTATTTTTATTATGTTACTATGTATTGGTTTACTACTATTGAAGCTTCTATTCTATCCTGATATGTTATTCTTAGATTACTTCCTTACTATTATTCGATGGTAGCAGATCGTGAGGCCTTTCGACCGATTGCTTACTGCCCGTTCGATGGAGGTCGGCGGATCCCGACGATACGGAAGAGGCAGATCGGTGGGCTGGGACCCGTGGAGCCATGTTGGGAGAAGAATCGCCTCCACTTGGATTACAACTGCTAACTCCAACTGGCCCACTGAGTCCCGAAACGACTGAACTCGCCGATGAAATTGAGCTCACCGATGACGTGCAAACCTTGCCTGACCTCTGAAGTGCTGAGGGTTGACCGCCTTTAGGTATGTCCCACGGGGAATCATAATCCTCTTCGGGACGATTATCACATGACGGATTTTGCTGCACCTATATGGGACAAAGGAAGATAGGGTTAAATCGTTGTATTGAACAAAGTTCACGTTTTTTGAGTAAACTGATACCAGTACGCATAAGCTAAACATAACCGCAACGGGCATTGGGAGCTTTACATTTACTGTGACTTATGATTACGTCCAACAACAATGTAATGGGAATCCTTTATGGCCAGCCATCCATCCATACATAGTTAAATGTTCTTCTTATAAGCATTACCGGCAAAGAATCACACATCAGCCCCGGAATGAATGTTTTTATAGCCGTACTTTACTTGCCTTATTATTAATATCCTTGACATCGCACGTAGGTAAAGGAAATGGCTGCCTCGAGCTTGTCCTCGGTGGCGTCTTATTACTGTTATCAACTGGAGGAAGGTTTTGGTAGGTCGTACCTTGCCGGGGATGACGCGGCGCTGGTACAGGTGGAGCGGCGGTAGTGGTCGAACTACTGCCCTGGAACTGCTCGCGTGACAAACATAAACGAAGACGCATCTCGCGTTACAAGTCGTCTAGTGTATACGCTGACAAATGTCAGCAAGGGCTTAACACACGGTACCTTAATAGTAGACTTTTTAGACGTATTTGAGAACTAAATCGCAGTATAATTACCTTCTAAATTGTGCTGGGCTTATTTATATATATACATATATTATTGAAAATGTTCGTCACATTGAGCAAAGTAAAAATGCATCGCTGTTCCCTTCTTGGTTCCATGGCAACGTTAGTAGGCCGTACCTGTTGCGGCGGCAGTACCGCGTTGGTCGATGACTGCTGTTGCTGGCGCAAAGGGTTTGCCGAGCTCAGCGGTATTCCCTGCTGGTGCGACGACGATGAAGGGGCTTTCCGTTGGGCGCGAGGTATGCCTGGAGGCAGATCCGTTTTCCGACCGCCATTTCCTCCGCCATGACTCGCACTCGTTGAATTTGCTCGCCGAACGTGCGGCGGTCTAGGGGGAGCTCCAACTCCCATAAGATCGTCGGCACCGTTTCGGACGTTTGCGGCCGCTGCGGCTAGTTTACCTGAAGAGACTAAAATACATGACAAAATAATACACAGTAAATAAAAAAAAAAAACAGCAAAAAAGCACAATGTTCTTGAGGTGGCAGGCTCGTATAGTTCTCCGTGATGGCTTATTGAGTAATTTTAAGCTCACGTTGTGGTTTAGGTTCGAACCCGAACATAGACGCACTTCGTTTCGTGCTTGCAAGTTTAAAAGCGTTACCGGACGTAAATTCGACACATAAAAAAGGCTCGTATGGCTGTATTTGGTAATACGCAAATATGTAGCAAATAATAAATGAAATAAACTTTAGTTTTTTTTTTATTACTATTGTGTAATCTGATTGTTTCGATTCTAATTGTGCAAAATATTGTGCCATTAAGGTGATATGGTTTAAGCGAAAGTTAGATCTGCTTTATCAAGCGGCATACGCAGCATTAAAGGTGCGCAATGCTTCGGTAACTTTCTAATAATTTTTTCTTAGCTGCAACAAAACGTATTCTGTTTTTATGACGAGCTTTCGTCAAAAGCTAATATTTTGCGTTAGCCGTTACGCAAGTCAACATACATCTTCAACTGAACATTAAGAAACGTGTCCATACATAAAGCGGCGATCTGCATAACAGGTGAGTGGACAAATCAACCAGATCAGTAGAGCAGGCCAAAATACCTTACGCAGTGGTGTCGCCGAAGGCTCTGCCTAAAAGCTGAATTGCTACTTAGACAATGGGCGACACTCGAAAAAGGAACGCCCTAAATAACAGCATTTCTATCTGCTTATCGCTTCTCATACACCGTTTGCTGAACTAATCAGTAAGCTATAATTAATAATATAACAGACTTATATGCGCCTGCTAATCATCAGCGCTTACAAAATATCGAAAGGGATCTCCGTAAACGAGCAGGTTCTTCGATCATAAGAACAGAGCAGGGAATAGAAATCACTGGCGTTGACAGCTTCGTCAGCCCTGCTACCGTGCAGGCTAGGGCCCTGTGTGATTTAGAAGACAAGCTACCAATGTACTGCCTGCAGCTATTGTGGGGGGACATGTACTAATAGGCTTGCCTTTATCAGCGATATCAGAGTAACGAGTACGATTCGAATGTAAAATACAGAAAAAATAATATTGTCTATAGCATGATATTACAGGCACACTTGAGTAAATATTTAGGCTCCATCACTGAGTATGTTGTCCTCCATGACGAACATGCTTACCCATGTTCAGGTAGAATATAATGCACAATTTACACAGCTGTCCACTCCATTTAGCCAATGTCAATACTTAAACACTGAAGAAGCGATAAACAGAATCTTCAGCGGATATAGCGATTAGTATATGCAACATGAAATATATGTCACATTTTACGAAACTGTCAATGAAACACTGAACGATAATGGATGCTACGGAAAATGAAGTGTAGAAACTTCCTACCGAGATTCATGGAGGCGTACGGCGTAGAGTACATATCCTCAAGACAGCCATCGCTGCCAGTGTGGGTACGGGAGTTTTTTAGCTCGGCGATGAGGTCCACTGGATCCTGGTACTCGTCGCATAATGTTACCTTGAAACACAAAGAAAAATAGCTAATATTGAATATGATGTAATTGTAGGAACCGCGTCTGTTGCTAGCGTCTCCTACCAAGTTGTTGATTGGAAGAACTGATCGCGTATCGTATTATAGATCTTTTTGACTATACACTTATTGTACTTGCCATGTCAGCCCAAGCAATAGTACGCCGTCAGAGACAAGATTACCGATGGTGTTCGAAAATTGGTCGATTAAAATGACAATCAGAAACCTACGAGCCTATGAACTCTTGAAACTTATGAACAACTGATAAATGAGCAATATTCCTGTAGACAGAATCCTATTCTATTGCAAAAAAAAACGTTTTCAAATACTTCATAATACGATCGAAACTTCTCTGGAGTAACCAGCTATCACCGAATATCCTTGAGGCAAGGGTCGTCGTTACGGCAAAATCTATGCTAGCAAGGGCCATTAGTCACTAGATAGAAATCTATATTTACTTGTCAAAATTAAGTACTCATAACGCAACATAATAACTAAAATCGACGCAATATAAGCATCACTGCAAGCAAACAAATAAAAATAAGGGTTTTTCGTTAGCCTTCAACCATATACAGAAAGGAGCAAATAGATTTTGATCCCAATTTGCGAAGGAGCAGGAAATAAAAGAGTCTTCCTAGATCATCGCTGGTCCTTCATAGAAGGAACGGGTTAATTCTAACAGCAAAGTCTTCAATACCTGGTTAAATTTTACTAATATTATTCCTTGCCACAGTTCCAGCTCTATCAAAACATACTCCATAGTGTAATACTAACGGCTTGTAACTATAAATGGCTAATTTTAATACTATGCAAAGGAAAATTGCAGTTGATGTTATTCTTACTATTAGTCCTATGACGTATGATGGATGTATCACTACTTTAAGTAAAAAAGCACGAGAAGTTGTTATTCAGCCATCGTTTTAAGGCTTGCTATGATACAGCAGTGGAAAATTATTGCTAGTCAAGCATACGCGGGTTATTCTTCAAGTAGGTCGGATTCAATTAGTTAGTCTGCCTACTTTTCACCTACCTGGAGGTCGTCCTGGCTGTGCTGAACACGTCCACTTTCCCCATGCCCCACGACGCCGCTACAAGCCCTGCCAATATTAGCCAGGTTACTTTCACTGTTGCATCTCGCTGGCTGTTGCGTAAAGGCCCCTGCAAACCGCGTCAGAGTATGACTCGGCTATGTTAGTCTATTTGCTCGAACAAGAATATTTACAATGATCTACTGTCTATGGTTACTTTCAGTAAGACGAACAGCCGTTATCGACTGTTCATCCATAGGACTATATCTAACGACTTCTGATCGAATTAAGCATTTCCACCCGCTTCATATATTCATATGATCCGACTTTCCTTTTCTTAGGTGTCATTTTAATCGGTTACAACTTGATCAGACAGCTGATGATATCTATGAGTACGCATTCCAGCTGTGGGTACCGTTGCTTTCTAATGACTGGGACATTGGTTCATACATATCGACGCTCTGTATACATCTGTGTGCTTTTCTCGCCCACGCGATCATTAGCGCTGCAGACAGAACAGGTCCTATCGCTATCCGTATGTCAATCACGATAGGAGGTTGGGAGGCATACGCCAGCAGCGACTTTTCTAAATACCGTCAGCAGGTCCCCAACCGCTGTCGTCACCGTAGATTCGCCTTCTAACCCCCGGCCACTTGCTCATGTTTTCTACCTTTTATCTTGGTTTCGTACAGTAGCATATCTTCGCATATGGTGTCCGACCCGCTTCTTGCTCGCGACGCCGTTATCGACGCACGGCGCGGTATAGCATGTTTGTGTTCTCGCGACACGAAGCCGCCCACGAGGTCACGAACTATTTACTGATTTAGTGGTCTCTACTTTTTAACATTAAGGTAAATCTTTTTCAGTGTTCGAATTCCAGGAATGCATTTGCTCTTGTTCCAGCAACATTCTTCTTCTCTGTGAACCAGCATATGTCAGCTCTGAATCGTTTTCGGCTTTTGGCGTCCGTATTTAAACCAGGCAGGTCCGATCGCCTGCCATATGTTACATTTATGATATCAGTAGGCGTTCGAAAGGTGTTGCGGCCTCTCATAGACCGATTGGCTCTCCCGCCACTACCTCTTCACTTGCTTCACCATGTACCGCTGCATGGGAAGTACAAACGCCACGGCAAATCGATCCGTGTTCCACCGTCTCATCGATGGTGTGTAGGGCTCATAAGGTGATGGTTTTACAGGCACCAATAAGACGCCATCTACACAACCTGATCAATTCGAAGCTTAGGCTTCCTTATACTTGGACTGCGCCCAAAAGTAACATGGCATGTATGCAGTCGATCCGTTCTAATATCATTCAATTTGTGTCACAGCTAGAACTCACATTCAGACGTACCAGAACGCAATTCAGCTCGGTTAGAGCCCTGTGGAAGCATGTTCCACCTCCAGATCACTCGGGAAATAATACTTGTAGTCTTTGATGCATATTGATAGGGTAGTCTTGAGGCATTAGATGGGGTGCACTTAACGATCTGGTCGTGAAGCTGCGCGGTTCGTTATCGCGCACACAATCTATTGTTCGGGTACCATTATAATTTTTCGTTTTATTTAGCGGTTTTAGAGAGCTATGTAGTGTCCGAAGTGCCAGACACTCTGCCATCGCCCCATCCGGATATGCCTAGGTCGGGCAGAATCGCATGAAAAACCCCACCATCTCCCTGCTGGAAACCAGCCTCCGCTATAGGTCGACAGAAACTTAGGCAGCGGGACGATAGAAATGTGGTGAAGTGTTGTCGGTGATCAATTAGACACACTGTATGCGTTTGCTATTTGCTTTTGACTATGTGCTTATTCTGACTCTGTTAGGAGGTGTATATTAACAGAAGCGCGAGAGGATGAGGTGCGGGAGCAAATCGAGATCGGTCGAGCGGAATACAAACCGTACATTCACGAACACGTTTCGGAGATTTTATTTTATCCAAACTTTCGTCCTTGGCTGTGACTTTCTCAACGAGGGAATGCCTAACAGAAAACGACATTTGGGCGTTCAATTAAACATAATGATCGTGTAACGAAGGAAGCTTGATATTTTATATGTGTGATTACTTTTTACATAATCTAAGTTTAAGGATTATGATTTGAATAAAACGAAACAAGTACTATACTCTTAGTTTGCTTCATTATTACCACGTGAAGAGCAACTCTGCCACGGTCTTCTATGATTCATTACAACGCATCACTAGGGCTGACAATCGGCTCACTGTTCACTGTGACAGTATAAGAGGCTGGTCACTGTCTGCCAGAGTCGCGCTATCGCAGAGACTGCAGTCCGACATGCGACTAACACGCACACGCTCAGGTAACGATGTGGGGGTCGGAGATCAATCAGTCAATGCAGACGCCAAATGGCTGCATCACCAAGTCAGAGCCAAGCGGGTTCGACCGTAAGACCGTTTTTTACTATTATTATTTATTTGCGATATGCTGCAGAAGCACATATTGCGACATCAACACCACGGTAGCAGTAGCTAAATCCTAATAGTAGAGGTACATTTTCCAAACTTTGGACGTGTATTTTCAGAGGAAAACAAATTATTATGGACGTTTCGTTCATTCGATGACTCTACTGTCGTCAAACTGTTCACCCTATTTCGTCGAAGTGATTCGTGAGCAAATTTAGGCTTATTGGTCATTCCTCCGCCTCGTGCGTTTGTAGCAATATTGTTGCAATGATCTGTTAGCGTTTTGGGTATTGTTAGTTCTTCTAGACAGCTTAACATGGAAATCCTATCACGCACTGTCCTACTTCATGTAGAGTTCCCGATCCCAATAGATAATATCTTCAAGTATTTCTTGATTTGAAAGCAACAATTGCCTATGTGCAACGAAAAAATCCTGTAAAGTGAGTTCTTGTAAACTCCTCTATTCTATATATGAAGGTTTGGTTATTCTATGTTAGCGTGGCACTAAAAACGTTTACAGAAGGCTCTCTTTAGATAAAAATCAGTCTTCAATAAAATTAATGATTTCTTGTCACTTTGTTCCTGTTCATTATTTAGAGACTAAAGTCAACTTTCTTCAAAGCATTTTTATCCTGTGGGTTCAGCTATTAGGAGCTAGACCTCAGTGGCACACCATCTGTCACCTTCGACCGATAACTGGCAGGATCCATCTATTGCCATATGTACGACGCACTAATATAAACTCATTACAGTCCTGAAATCGCTATTTTACGCGCTACACAAGTGAGGTTTGTTTGCCGGTCTGAAATAATTCCTGTGGCACTTTTTGCCTTAAGCTGCCCCATATCTCTCGTGAAAAGTTAGCTTTCTCGGTGACTGTCTTTCTCTATTTGTTTCGCCTCCACTGTCCACGATAGGCGGTGCACATTCAACGGATGGGTGACCACGCTCGTCACTTGTAGTCGTCGGAGCTTCAGAACTCATCCGCTCGATTATTAGCTTGTGTACGCGTGCCGCCGTCATATGGGTCGCCGCCACCCTATGAATGCCCCCCATCCCCGTTGGATTTGGCTATAGCCATCGTCGTCTATGGTATACAGTCACTTCGACCTCTGAAGTTCCGCAACACCTTCTTTGGAGATTGTTAGTTCTAGGAACAGTCACCACACCAGAAGGGGTAGACTCCCACAGCTATGAGTGTTCCTGAAAACGTCTCTGTTCAAGCGAAACGCCTAAATAGTCCCGTGACGGCTGGTGGATACTTAGAGCTAGTCTAGGAAAAAATCTTCACAGCACGCAAACGTAAATATGTGCAAAAACTGAATCGTCGCAAATAAATATGGTCAAAAATATAGGCTCTCCTTACAACACCAAGCATTATTTGCAACAAAAAACCGTAATCAGCAGTGACAGCACCAGTTAGATGGGACCACTAATATAAGGCACACGAGAGACTTTTTCTACTATTGATATTAACATTAATTAGGACATATCTCTCATTTTTCATTCAGTGGTAAATGCATGACTCTCCTTGGGTTAAATATACATAATATGTTATTCGCTTCAATATGGACTCGAATTAGCCTTTTGCCATTAAGCATACGCTGATATAGTCAATAGTACTTCACCACCAATGGAGAATGACTTTAGCCTGAAAACTCAACTACAGATTACACCAACTGTAACCCATACAGCACAACAGCAGCTCTTAAATTGTTCCAATGTGTCAACTAAGCAAACAAAAGCAACTTCTTATTATTTATCTTCTATTTATGAAAGCGTGTGCGTACCGCAGTCGTTCCCGACCGCCCAGGCCGGTGATGCGCGCACGGTCAAATAGCACGTCGTTCACCACTTCGACCGTACAGACCGATAATTGACTGGCGGAATCATGCTATCGCAAAGACTACGGTCCGACATGCGACAAACGCGCACACACGCATACATTCATAGGTGATAATACAAGGATCGAACGTCGACCAGTTAAGCAGGCACCATATGGCCGGCGTCATCAGGCCACGAGCCGGTAAGAGAACGATTTCCATCCGCCCCTTTTTTCGGGTAGATCAGAGAAACAGGAACAAAAGATATCTATTGATCGAACTGCCTAATACTGTCGCGTATAGCCACACGAAGGTACACATGTGCGCTTCAAAACAGATGAACGAAGCCTTCTGCAACAGTCGTATATGGTACACGTCGCTCACAGTGATCTCTCCTAATAGGTTCAATGAGGTACCACAAAAACGTACATTCGTATAGTCGACGACGACGATAACTACAACTACATATATAATGTAGTTCGATTGAAGTTTCGGAGAAGCATTTTCAAGAGGAAACGCATCTTCCTTAGAAACTCAAATCATAAGAACATGTGTTTGGAACGTGTGCCATGAGCACAGTTTGAGTTATAAGGGAAATTAAAAAAAGCAACTAGAACGGCCCCGAATCGACAGTCCTCATCGGTTGACTGACTTGATCAATATGATGAAGTAAGGGTTACAGATAAAAGGCGCCGGCCGTGCTAATCAACTGTTCTATGTAAGACTACGGAACACAATTGGCATACGGTGGAGCATTCCGCAGAGGCTCTCGTGGATTCTGGTCCCTCTGTGAAGCGTCAATGCTGGGAGTCGGGGTCACGAACATGCCGTGCATCGTAAAAGTATCCGAAGCTCTGCTGACTTTTATTCAAACATAGACAGCTGGAA